AAAACTCCTCTCATTCCATGGGCAGCAACACTTCCCACCTGCCCTGGCAGCTCCAAGTCCCGACCAACCTGGCCTGGGACAATTCCAGGGATGGGGCAGCCACAGCTTCTCTGGGAAATCCGTTCCAGGGCCTCCTCACCCTCACAGGGAGGAATTTCATCACAATATCCCACTGAATTCTCCCCTTTCCCAGTGGGAAGCCACTCCCCCTTCTCCTGGCTCTCCATTGAAACCTGAGGGATCTCAAATCCAAGGATCCAGACTTGAGGAATCTCTCAACCCTAAGGAATCTACACCCAAAGGATCAAAACCCACAGAATCTTAACCGGGGGAATCTCCCACCCCCAGGAATGTCCAACCCAAACCCCTCCATTTCCCACCCCAGGTGACCCCACCAGGACCCCCAGTCCTGCTCCAACACGTGGGAATCCCGTGGCCCCTCGTGCTCCCACATTTCCCAGGCGGATCCCAATCCCAATATTTACACGTCAGGGGACTTCACCGGAGCCTCTTCCACCTTCACGGGTGGCTCCGCCGGCTTCGGCTCTTCCTCCTGGGAACCAACGGGGAGAATCCATAAAAAACCTCCCGGCCACCTTTCCTGGGTGATTCCCAAGGCACAAACCCCCGATTCAGCCCAAACATTCCCAGGAATTCGCGTGTTCTGTGTCCCGGGGAGGGGTTGGAAACTCTCCCTGTGCTTTTCCAAAGCCCCATAATCCCTTCCCAGAAGGTCTGGGCTGCACAAGGGGTTGGGAATGACCTGAGGGTGACATTCCCAGCCCAGAATGGAGTGGGAATGGCCAGGAGTGGCTCCAGCAGCACCCGTTCTCCTTCTCACCAAATATTTAATGGGAAAACAGGGAAAAATCCTCCTTATCCTGCACCTGCTGAGCAGGAAGGAGCCTGACAGTGGGAAGAGTCACTTCCTGAGGGTGTTTTAGCACAAAGTGCTTTTCCAGGCTGGATTTCCTGGCCCTGGCAGGAACAGGGCTCAATCCCACGGGATCCACGGGCACCAACTGGGAGACTTTTCCTTGAATATCCTTAAACCCGCCAGGTGTGAATCCGGCTGGACATGGAGGGAGCGACCAGGCTCCAAGGGATCCCAAAAACTGGGATCACACCAGTGACAGGATCCCCCATCCCACCCTCTGGACAGTCCCAGTTGTCTCTCAGCACCAAAACCGTCTGTTTTAGGACCAAAATGGACAACAAAAGTGGTTTAAACTCCACCCAGCCCCGGGTGTTGTGTTATTCCCGTTCAGCAAACCAGGATCCCCCCGGGATCATCCCAAAAAACAACCCACCTCTATCTCCTCTGCCAGCACATCCTCCTCGTTGGCTTCTTCTTCAGCTGGAGGACAAAACAACGCAGCCATTGGAGCAGCAAAACACCCCAGGGAACCTCTGGATTCCCAGAGAACACAGGAATCCGGGCGGGAATTCCGAGGGGTTCGGGAAGGGCCCCCAGCACCCACCGTGCTCCTCCAGGTAGGCCTGGAGCCGGTTGATGAGGTCCTGCTTGTTGCCTTTGGCCTCCAGCCCCCTGGCCAAGCACTCCTGCTTCAGCTCTGCCAGCTGCGGGGGGAAAAACAGCGATTAAACACAGGGATCAAAGCGGGGCTGAGGGATGGAAAGGAACGTTCCAGGGGAACCTCCCTGCGACCCTCCCGGGGAATCTCTTTGGGATCGTCCTGGGGGAACCAACCAAGGGAACCCCCCGGGACCCTCCTGGGGGACCCTCCCGGGGAAAACCACCGGGGAACCATCGCTGGGCCCCTCCTGGAGGGACCTCCCAGGAGAATCAACCGGGGGAACTTCTTGGGGACCCTCCTGAGGAACCCACTGGGGGAACCTCCCCAGGACCCCCTTGGGGAACCAGCCGGGGAACCTTCCCCAGGGGCCGTCCCCGGGACCCCCATCCCCGGGACCCCCATCCCGGGGTCTCTCCCACGCGGCTGCGCTCCCACGCGGGGCCTCGGGGAGCCCCGACCTCCAGGGTTCCGGCCCGCGGTGGGGTCCAATCCACGAGGGAAGGGGTCTGTCCGCCCTCCGCGGCGGCGGGTGCCCAAAGCGGTTCCCTCCCTCAAACCGCCCCCGCTCGCGGGTCCCCGCGGCACCTTCAGTTTGTGCAGCTCAACCGGCTCCGCCGCCATCTTGTCACCGCCGCGCCGGCCCCGCCCCCGCCGCCGCCCGGCCAATCAGCGCCGAGCGCGCCCGACGGAACAGGAAAAAGCGCCGCCCGCCATTGGCCGGTTCCGCCCGGCACCGCCCTCGTGGTATTGGTCGGCGGAGTTGAGTGACGTGGAGACGGACCAATGGGAGCGCGGCAGTGCGGTGAGCAGGGTATTATTAATTATTCGTTATTAATTTATTTGTTAATTATGAGTTTATTAATTAAACCCCCCGGCCGCGAGGTCATTGGTCATCGACATCCCAGGCCCTCACACCCCCTCCTTTCCCCCAGTTGCCGTATCTGCCAGCCCAGCACCTAAAACGACACTTAAATTGCCTCCTGGGTTATTTGGGGTCGTGTGAGCCCCCAAAGCAGCCCCTGGTTCCTCGGGGGCTGACTGAGCCCCCAAAGCAGCCCCCAACTCTGCTTGGTTTCCCCCCCAACCTGCAGCTCCTTTGGCCACATCCCCACCCCACCCCCCTTTTTAAAACAAACCCCTCACGTTAAAAACCACTCACTTTCTTTTCTAAAAAAAAAAAAAAAGAAAAATAGATTTTTTATTCAAAGAAGCCCTTTGGGGGGGCCTGGGGCCCCTCAGCGCGGGAGCGGCCGCCGCACCTTCTTCCTCCTCTTGTGCTTCGTGTCCCCCCTGGGGGCAACCCCCTCTGGCCTGGGGGGACCCCCAGGCGGGGCCGTGGCCCCCGGAGGGGTGGGGGGCGACGGGAAGGGCCCCCCAGGGGCCGCCGGGGCCTGAAAGATGCGGGTGAGGAAATCCTGGAGCTCCGAGGGGGTGGGGGGGCTGCCCTTGGGGGTGGTCCTGGAGGGGGAACAGAGGGAGGTTTGGGGGGTCTGGGGGTCCCTGTGCAGGTCAAACCGCCTGAGAGAGAGGGTGTGATGGCACCACGAGACCCCCGGGGCATTGTGTCACCCCCCAGGTCACGGTGTCACCCCCCAGGTGCCCCCCCCAGCACTGACCGCTGCCTCCCGGGCGGGGGGGCCGCCCTGGCGCCGAAGGACAGGTGGTAGGGGACACGGTGGGTGTCCGGGGAGATGCCCACACGCTGGCACCCGGCCCACTCTGGGGGGACAGAGACAGAGACCACCCGTCAGGGGGCACCCGGGGGGGCCACAGAGGGTGGGACCCCTGGGGCTGGGGGCTGCAGAACCCTCCAAGTCTGGGGGCTCTGTCACCCCCCCAGTCTGGGGCCAGGAGCAGCCCCCCGTGGGTGTGGGGTCCCCCCGTGGGTGTGGGGTGCCCGCCCCCACCGGTGATGTCGTAGACCCGGCCGTCCATGCGGGCCATGTAGGTGATCCTGAGCCCCAGCAGGTGGGACTCTGCCCACAGGTCCCCCTCCTCGGCCGGGTGCAGCCCCCCGCACTCAGCGCAGTACCGGGCACGCTGGGGGTCCCTGTCCAGCTCGAACCGCCTGCGGGGGGGGTGGCACCGTGAGACCCCTGAAACACCACATCCCCCCGGCGCTGGCCCTGCTCCCCCCCCCCCCCTGAGCCCCCCAGGACATGATGTCCCCCCAGCACTGCCCCTGCTCTCCCCCTGAACCCTCTGGGGTACAATATCCACCCCCAGGGACACAGCATCCCCCGGTGCTGACCCCAAACCCCCCCGCCCCACCTGTGGCGGCCCCCGCAGCGGCTGCAGGCCATGGCGTTCATGGCCTCCCTCAGGTCCTCCTGCAGCCGGCTCAGGAAGGCTCCCACCGACCGCGCCAGCTCGCTCTGTGCCAGCCTCTTCCTGCGGGGAAACGCGGGCGGTCAGAGCCCTCCCCGGGGGTCCCAGAGCCCCCCCCAGGGCCCCCCCGACTCACGTCTCGTAGTCCCGGCGCCGCTCGGGGCTGCTCACCCGGTCCCAGCCCGCCCGCAGCACCTTGAAGGCCTCCTCTGCCCGCGGGTGGGGGCTCTTGTCGGGGTGCACCTGGGCGGGGAGCGACTGTCAGGGGCCCGCCGGGGTGGTGGGGGTCCCCGGGCCCCCCCGGCTCACACCCACCAGCACGGCCAGGCGCCGATAGGCCTTTCTGAGCTCGGCGTCGGCCGCCGAGGGCTCCACCCCCAGCACCTGGAAGGGGTTCAGCTCCTCCTCGGGCACCTCGGCCAGGGCCAGCAGCCGCCCCAGCTCCTCCTCCCCCGCCGCGGGGACCCCCGGGGGGCTCCTCCGGCCCCGCAGCCACTGCCGGGGGTCCCCCAGGAGCTCCCGAGCCCGGTGGGCTCCGGCGGCGAGGCCGCGCCAGCAGAGCCGGAGCCCCCCGAGGAGGAGGAGGAAGAGGAGGAGCAGCAGCGCCAGGAGCGCCCCGAGCAGCCTCAGGCACAGCCCGGCCCCCGCCCGGGCCGCCCGCAGCGACCCCCGGCCCCAGCCCCGCAGCCCCCCGCCCTCCTCCTCCTCTTCCTCCTCCTCGTTCTCCCGCAGGGCCCCGCGCTGCCTCGGCCGCCTCCGGGCCCTCCGCGCCCTCCCCTCGCCGTCGGGGGGTCCCCGGTGGCGGCAGCCGAGCCCGCAGGCCCCGGCCCGGGGCTCCCCCGCGGGGGTCGGGGCGGGGGCCGGGGGTCCCCGGCAGCCGCAGGGGGTCCCGGGGTCGCCGCCGCCCCCTCCGTCCTCCTCGTCGTCCCCCAGGCCGGGGGCGGTCCCGGCGCGGCCGCAGGTCCCGTTCCAGGCGGCGCTGGAGGGGCCGGAGCCTCCTTCGGCCGCGTCCCGGGGCCGGGGCTGCTCCATCCCGGGGTTAAGTCACGGCCATCCCGGTCCTGCCGGGGCTGGGGGGAGAGAGAGGGGTCAGCGAGGGGCAGAGACCCCCGAAATGGGCCCGGGACCCCCCGAATGGCCCCCGGGGACCCCCCGCAGGACCCCGGAGACCCCGACCCACCCCGGGACCCCTCGGATGGGCCCCGAGAACCCCCGAAAAGGGCTCCGGGGAACCCCCCGAACGGCCCTGGGACCCCCGGTGGGGCCTGTAAGGAACCCGCAAACGGACCGGGGGGGGAGTTTGGGGTATTTTGGACTCACCGCGCCGGTACCGGCGGTGGGGGGGGGTCGCCGCCGCCGCCCCCCCCCGGGTCCCCTCACGGCCGCACTTCCGCTTTCCGCCCGCCGCCGCGCCGCCACGCCCACTTCCGGGGGAGGGGCCTCACGCGAGGGCTTCGCTCCGCCTATCCTTAAATGGCGAAGGCCACGCCCCCTAAAGAGGTGCGGCCAATCATTAACCGTGTGACCACGCCCCTTCCGCGGGTATGGACACGCCCCTTAGTTGGGTGTGGTCGCACGTCCTTAAACGGGCATCGCCACGCCCCGTACCTATGGCCCCGCCTTTTAAAGGGGCATCTTCGATCTTAAAAGGGCAATGCTGCCCGGTATCCGCGGTGGGCCCCGCGCGTCCCGCACCGCCGCCCCCGCCGGGGCCCCCCCGTGCGACCCCCTCCCTTTGTCTTCCCCGAGATTGACCCCACGCGGGATCGGGTCCTTTCCTACGCTCACCCCCCCGACTGCCGCCCCCGCCCCCGCCAGACCCCGCGCGGGACCCCGCGACGGTCCCTCACCGCCCCCGGTCCCGCCCCTGCCGCATCTCGGCCCCGCCGCGAGCCCCGCGACGGCAGCGACGGTGAGTCCCGGGCGGGGGGACCGAGCGGAGATGGGACCCCCGAGGGGGGACCCCCTCCCAGGAGTCGGTGGAACCACTGGGAGCACTGGGAGAGCTCTGGGATGGGGCTGGAGGGGCGGGGGGAGCGAGTGGGGATGGGAACCCGGCCGGGGACTCCCCTGGGCAACCCCCGCCCCTCCTGCCCCGTCCCACAGCGCTCCCAGTGCCCCTTCCCAGTGACCCCAGCGCTCCCACCGCTCCCAGTGCCCCCTCCCAGTGCCCCCACCGCTCCCAGTGCCCCCTCCCAGCACTCCCGGTACTCCCACAGACCCCTCCCATCGCTCCCAGTTCCCCCAGTTTGCCATTGTCCAATACCCACTCCCAGTGCCCCCAGCGCCTCCAGTTCCCCCTCCCAGCGCCCCCAGCCCCGTCCCTTCCAGATGTGCCGCCCCCCCCCCGCGGCGCCGCTGCCAGATGTGGGTGCGGGGAGGGGGGACACGGGGGGGGTCGGAGGAGGGGGTCGCGAGGAGGGGTCGCTCACCCCCCCCTGCCCCCGCAGAGCCCGGGGGGCGATGGACCCCGGCGCCCCCCCCGCGGAGCCCCGCTGTGCCCTCGGGCCGCGGGGACCCCTCGAGCCCATCCCGGCCGCGCTCTGCGCCCTCGGGGCGCTCCTGGGCCTCGGCTGCGGCTGCTTCGGTGAGAGGGGCACGGGGGGGACCCCCGGCTGGGGGGCTGAGGGGCTCCTGGGGCGGGCACTGAGGGAACCCCGAGGGGGGCACGGCTGGGGGGGCTCGGGGAGACCCCTGGGACACTGTCGGGAGGCTGGGGGGGTCCTGAGGGCACACCGGGGGGGACCCCGAGGGGGGCAGGGCTGGGGGCATGGTGGGGGGGCTGGGGAGCACGGGGGGACCCCCGAGAGGGGCCCCAGGAACCCTGAGTGCATGGCTGGGGGGGCTGGGGGGGCCCTGGGGAGGCAGGGGGCACGTCTGGGGGGCAGAAGAGATGGCACGGGGACCACTGGGGGACAACTGGTGCTCCTGGGCAGAGGGGATGGCACAGGGGACACCGGGGGGCACAGGGGACACCGGGACCCCCAGGGACTGCCCAGTGCCCCCCAGCACCGCCCCCACTGACCCCCCCTGCCCCCCAAGGCTACCGCTGCTTCAGGGCCGTCATGTTCCTCTCGGGGCTGTTCTTCGGCTCCGCCGTCATCTTCCTCCTGTGCCACCGGGAGCGCGTCCTGGGGTCCCCGCTGAGCCTGGAGGCGAGCGCGGGCATCGCGCTGGGCATCGGGCTGCTCTGCGGGCTCCTCACGGCGCTGCTGCGCAGCGTGGGGCTCTTCACCTCGGGGCTGCTGCTGGGGCTGCTGGTGGCGGCGGCCGCGCTGGCCGCGCTGGCCCCGGCGGAGCCCCCGGGCAGCCCCTGGGTGGGCGCGGGGGTCGCGCTGGGGCTGGCGCTGCTCGGGGCTCTGTCGGCGCTGCGCTGGCCCCGCGCCCTCACCGTGCTGGGCACGGGCGTGGGGGGCGCGGCCGCCCTGGTGGTCTGCGCCGATTATTTCGCCGAGGGCGCGGCGCTGGTGGGGTTCGCGCTGGCCCGGCTGCGGGGGGCGCCGGGGGGGCCGCTCTGCTGGCCCGGGTGGGCGCTGCTCGGAGCGTGGCCCGCGCTCAGCGTCACCGCGGTGCTGCTGCAGTGGAAGGTGACGGCCGGAGGGGCAGCGAGGGGACACGGTGAGGGACCCCCGGGGGCAGGGGGGGGACGGGGGAAGGGTGGGATGGGAAAGGGAGGGGCTGTGGATGCTGGTGGGGATGAAGGTGAGGAGGAGGGTGGGGTGGCGATGGGGACAGGGAGGAGGAAAAGGGTGGGACTGGGAAAGGACTGGGATGAGGCTCTGGATGCTGCTGGTGGTGGGAAGGGTGAAGGTGAGGGTGAGGAGGGCGGGGAGGGGGTGGTAAATCGGGGGTAAATGGGGGGTGTCCCCAGGTCAGGGGGTGTCCCGGGGGTCCCCGGGTCGGGGTCGGGGGTGTCCCGGGATGGGGGGCACAGGGCTCAGGACTCGCCCCCTCCCCACAGTCCTCAGCCGGCGGCAGAAGCGCCTCCGGCACAAGGAGCCCAAAGCCCCCCCCGGGGGTCCCCCTCGCCGCCAGCCCCCCCCAGCCCAGCGCTGCACGGACACCCCGAGCCCCGGGGACCCCCGAGATCCCCCGAGCACCACCCGGAGCCTGCGGGACCGGCAGCCGGACAGCGGAACCCCGCCGGGACCCCCCGACGCCGCCAGCCCGCCCCGACACCGCCTCTGAGCCCCTCAGACGTGCCTTGGGGACCCCCCCAACCGCGGTGCCTGCGCCTTTAAATAAGCAAATGAGGTTCCTCGTGCCCCGCCCACCGGGGGGCGTGGCCTGTGGGGACGGGGCTTCAGGGCACATGGGTGGGTGGGACCCCCGAGGGCTGAGGGGGGGGAGCCCTTTGCACCCACCCCACCCCTCCAGCCCCCGGGGACCCCCTTGAAAACAAAGCCCCACATTTATTTTTGTAGGACCTACCCAAATACTGTGA